GGGGGGGGGGGGGGGGTTTTTTAAAACCTTTTTCTGAAGTTTTAATTTTTAATAAGTCAAGGTAGGTCTTTACCGATTTTGACAAATACTTTAGTAATTACAAAGTTTGGTTTTCAAATACGTTTTAGAATATGTTGACATATAATTTATTCTTACTTGTAATTGACTACATAAGTTTGAAAAACAAAACTTATGCTCGGAAATGTATTTAATGATTAAAATGGGAAGGCCTAGATTATTTTTTAATTTAGAATAGACATGGTACTATAGAGATTACAATATATGTGTGTATATATATATATCAGATACTTGTCACTAGTTATTTTTTATTATTTATTTATACATAAACCTGTTGCCATTAAAAATATTATAAAACGTTATAATACAGATCTGTGGTATATACTAACATTTATAAAAGAAACAAGGGCTAAGCTGCCCAAATCTTTCGATCGCAGGGAGGCCGGATATAACGACCGAATTACTTGGGTTACCAAAACTAGAACTTTAGAATGATCTTTGTGTGTGGTGATGCAATTTTTGTTAAAGATATCCATTATCGACCGAGTTATTATTTTGTTCGTCTAGGATAATGAAAAAAATTTCAGCCAAAACATAAAATAATAATCATGTTATGTCACATGTAAAAAAATAATGTAAAATATACATCTCAAAAGATAGATAGTTATTGTAAAAGTACCATATAAGTGTTTCATAAACGTATATTAAACGAAGGAAGAAGCAAGAAATATATTCAATTCGGCAAGAGTGGGATCCAGCTGCTTGACTCTCAAACGCTCCAACTTCAATACTATTCAAGCATTGAATTGGTAGTAGGGTTACATAGGTTATTTATTTCCTGCAATTGATAGAACTTTATTTTTGTGCATATATATTTATATATATATATATATATATATATAACACACATACTCCCATATACGGAGAAAGTACGACCATGTGATTTATTATTTGTGATAAAAGGCAAATCAGCAGGGGATCTGACGAAGCTCATCTGGAGGTTTTGTATATAGCCATGTGGTATGCTGTATTTCTAGCGTTTGTGTAAGGGCTTAGAATTGAAACGTGTGTCAATACTATTCCGCATAAATGCAGATAAAAATAGAAAAAAATAAGCTCATGTAAAAATTCCGTTGATAAAAACCTGAAATAATATAAATATTTTATATCAACAGATGGCAGCACACTTGTAACTATGAAGACGCTTGAAATGGCATATTAAATGAACTAGACATAAAGTATTGCACAATGACGTTATTTAAAATAAAATAAAAACTTAAGCGGCCATATCAAGTACACTGTTTAAAGATTTTTGTTTACAAATTGGATCAATTTATTTCAACGACTGGACATGACTTAGTGGTTAGCGTGTTAGAACTATGAATCCGAAGGTTTGTGGTTCGCGTCACTTTTTCGCAAAAATGCACTTTACAATGGCTGTAGAGTGGATGTGCTACAAGGGTGACGGTCAGTTTTCATTATTCGGTTAGACAGGAATAGCTCAAAATTTACGGCGGTTGATGTTGACTAGCTGCCTTCCATCTCGTTCATCATTTCAAAATTAAATACGGCTACGTGCAACCAGTCAGTCATGGAGTAGCTTTAGGCAAAGGTTCTAAAACAAATTTATTTTTGTACTGATTGAAGGTCTATCTATCGGATATTTAGGTTATCAAGTTTGATAGTTTCTATTTAATATTATTTCTGCTATTATCTAATGAACAAATACCAAAACAATCTTTTTTGAACTTTATTTTTGTTCAGATACTTAACGAATTTAGTTAAACCTAAATTAGGGTAATGGATTGTCAACCCCTTCTCCCATCGGAAGTCACTTTATTGGTTCTGATGTTTCCGCTAATCTTGTTGAAAAAGCTTGTGTGAAAAGACAATAGAAAACAATCAACAACTGAATTTAGTTTTATTGAGTAGGAAAAAAAAGCGTTTGATTGGGTCGACAGAGTTGCACTACGGACAATAATAGAAGATTGTGGTATAAAGGTCAATTTACTTGACAACATAACAACTTTGTATACGTGTGGCAAATGCTAGAACATCAAGTGGACTGACACATTGGAAAGATATAACATATGACGTGCGTCAAGAATGATGTGTTCTGTCGCTGTTACTCTTCAAAATATACATGGACCAGGTCACAAAAAAACAAAACAAATTTAACACCAGGAGAAATCAACGAACTTGTGTTCCTAGATGAACAGGTCTTGTTTGACAAAGTTGAAAATAGACTCTCAGACCATCTCAATAAACTAAACGCGCAATGCAATAATTATAATATGATAATCTGTAAGGCCAAGATAGAAACGATGAATTTTATGAAAACACCAGAACAGCTGCAACTGAATATTGAAGAGATCCAACTGAAGCAAGGAAAATAGTTCAAGTATATTGGGAATGTCTTCAGTGAAGATGGCAAATTAGACAGAGAGATAGAAACCAGATGCCAGAAAACAAACAATGTAACCTATCAGATGTCCCATAAGGATATCCATTTAGGAACTAAGTAAACACTTATCAGCACTATCATATCATATCATATCAATGGTACAAATGGGCCCTCAGTAAGAGAACCGAACAAGGAATAACATTGTGTAAAATGAGATATTTCCGTGAACAAGATCAGACTAGGTAAAGTAAGAAACGAAACAATCAGATAACAGCTTGGAGTGAGACCAGTAATGAAACATAAAGAAAAGTAGAGACTGAAGTGGTTCAGCTACTTAGTACCGATGAGTCCAAAACAGCTACCAGCAAGAGCATATATATTTTACAACTAACAGGAAACAGAGAAAGGGTTGGATCGATGGTGTCAAGGAAACAGCTGAAAACATGAAACTAAGAACTACTGGAATTTCACATCTTGCCATGGAAAGACGTCTGCATCTACCACGACGCTGAAAGGCATAAGTGGGGGACTAAAGAAAGCAAGAAGACAAAGCTAGAAGCTTGTCTAAAAAACTCTACATAGCCAATTTAGTTATCCATGAGAGGAATTTAGATATACTAAGGCCTTCTAAAATCATAGTCCTTTCAAGGTTTCATTTATAGTGACGCTAGGTACCACATCAAGGACATAGCTGGGATATTTTTAGACCACCTGAGCAACGTCCAACATGGCGTTGATTAAGGATATATATCTATTATTAATTAAGACACAACAATTACTACAGCAACAGAATGGCTTAGCATTATACCAGGGTACAAATTACATAGGTGAGAATATAAAATGTACTCTTATTTTTGAGATGTCTTCGGAAGTAGGACCCGCTTAACGGTGGGAATACACCTTTACCAGACTTCACTTCTCTTCGTCTGCCATACAGACTGAGAGAAAAGCAAAGCAAATGTAGGTGCTGAAGGCCACAATCCCACAACTTTGCCACCTTTGTTGTCTACAACCAGTTGTGTAAAGGTGGTTGATTTAGAGAAATGAAAAAAATATACTAGGGCGATAAGTAAAAACTTATCTCCTGATGTTGGCATTCCAGCCCTCGTTGTGGTACTGTAAGCTTCAACTTAGTTAGACAGTAGGAAAAAGACCATAGTTATAACAGTTCAAAAAATATACTAGAATTTCTCCACAAATATTTTA